TCCAGCTTAACTAGTTGTGGCATCCAACTGCATCTGAGTTGTAAGGTTTCTGGAATGCAGATTGAGCTCTCACACTGCTCACAAATACTTTTAACCTCAGGTCAGAGCAATGTCCCCAAGCCTGTTTAGCAGGCTTTGCTATTCAGTTGTTATGAAGCACTGAAAGAGAAGGAGAACTCTGTTGGTTTCATAAAACTGAAAGAGGATATAAAACATAAGTGGACTGTAGCCTTTTTCAAATTAACTGTAGTTATGCAGGCTTTAACATGAATATACACTTGTTACCTTGATTTATTTGCCTTTAGTTGCCTTCATATAGTGCCAAATCACAACAAAAGTCACTAAGGTGAAAACAGAGAGACAGAAAACTATGAATAAGTTTTGGCACTTCAATTCAAGTGGGGATGAAAAACTGCCTTTTAAAAGGAAGTAACATCAAACAGAACCAGGCTCAGAGGAAAGCATCTGCCATGACCGGGTGGGGGGTGAGGAGAGGAACACTGTGAAATTATATTCATATCAAAAGTCTTGCGCAACATACAACATAATGTCGAGCAAACAATTTAATTTCACAGATGCAGGTATTCATTGTCATTCACACAATTAAATTCCTTACATGTAAACATTTCGTTACATTTAGACACACAAAGAATAAAGAGGCCGAGCAGTTAGTGAGACAGTGATGTCAGGTGGAGTGAAAGAAACTGTTTTTCTCGTATCTAAAAGAGTTTATCTCGCAGCACTTGTTGCAGTAAATGACATACTGATATTTGCTGGGAAAAATAATGCGGGATTGCTTCGTCAAACCACCTGCTTAACAAGCTGTGAAGAAGAGTTTACTTTTCAGCTCCCCCAATTCACCACTGTTTGTTTCACACAGGAAAAAATCTACATTATAGTCTACATCTACATTATAGTATTGTACTATAATCACACCTGTAGGATGTGATTATAGATGAACAGATAAGACCCACATAGTGTTTCAGTTGCACACTTTGACAGCAGCTGTGGCTTTCTATCACAGTACTACCTGTGCCGTGGAGGGGTGGGTGTAAAGAGAGGCATCAGGTTTACTAGACTTTATTGTTTTATTATAATATATTTTTAGGCTTTAGTAACATAATATTGCAGATTTAGGATAATACAAAAGATAAATAATTTGTATTAAATGTTACTATTTCAAAACATAGAAATATCATAGATATCATTGATCACTTCTAATTTATTACTTCATGATAGTAAATTTAAATGGTTTAGCTGTTATTTGAGATCTGTGGTTTGTCTTATATACTTAATTCTCTGTGGTGGGTATTCTGTTGGAAAATACTAAAAAATACAGCAACACTACCAGCAGGACATGTGCAGCAAGGTGATATAGACTTGCCAGTTATTTCATTACATGTTCCACATTTATAATGATTCACTTTTTTCTATCCTTTCTCAGTGGGCTTCACTGACTGCACAAACCGCACAATATTTCTTTTCGGCACTGATGACAATCGCTTTGGTGTAAAGGCAGATGGTGTATT